AGATGGGGGGTCTGAAATGGGGGCCTGAGATGGGGAGAACGTTCCAAACCCTGATCATTCTTCCTGCATCCTGTCCCTCAATAGGGATCTTACGCAAAACACGACGGCAACGGCAACGAGAACATCACCAAATAAAAGGTTTAATGAGCAAAACAATGGTTGTACACGTGCGTTATAATTCTTGGTATATTTCTTTGCCGTCCTCTGCAAAACAACAACTTGAAATGACCAAATTCTGCGTTGTCTGGAGAACGCAAACCACAACGGCTACTGTTTCGTATTTCTATTTGAAACTGAACGCATTCATAGGATATTCAGCGGGGGCAAGTTTTAATACCGACAGACGCACTGAATAAACCTAAATAAATGCGAATTCCAAAGTGGAATAGAAACACACTTTTTACCAGGCGTCATCTTCGCCCGTCGCCGTCGTATATTCGTAAGGCCCCTAATATCAAATTTATCCTGCCTGGATTTTCAACTGAAGTATCTCGCCTCCCACCAAACTAATCTTTTGACATTCCACATCGAAATACATCTTCCATGCGTGAAGTATTATGATAATCACCGTTTTTTTTTTTTTTTTTTTTGAAATGTCTATAACCCCTCAAGCGATTTTCGTAGTTTCACTTTCCAAAGCAAGTTCCACCGTGGTAAGTACAGCTCTAGCTATTTCTATATCGTCTGATTTCTATCTTAACCAGCTAGAATAATAAATAGCTCGATTGTAATAGCCATAACATTTAGACAATCATAAAGTGATGATTAATTGCAAGCTCCACCGCTTGCTGGTAGATAACGAAATTTTTGGTTCTCTCAGATCTGATATCTGTTCAAAGTACATGACAAAGTGAAAACTGAGGAAAATTTAATTCACTGTCTTCCATATTTTACAACAGAACGATAGGAAAAGTTGCTTTCATTAGTTGTCTTATTTCTCTTCAGAGCAAGTCAGTCTGTCTATGACAGGAACCGGCGTGGAATGTAAATTTTATTTATCAGCAAACACAGAGTAAACTGGAATGTTTTTTAAGCTCGAGAAGCTTCAAAAGAGGAAACAAAGATGCCAAAATTTATGTTGGAAGGTCCAGTAATATTGAACAATCTTTTGTGACGATAAGTTTTTCCTGCAACACTGTAAATTTCGGACTGAACGGACACTTGAACTAACAACTGTGGGAATCTAACTCTGGAGAGCACTGCTTGGCTGCGGGAACGGAAACTCGTCACGATTTCCTGGTACACGAGGATCTACTTCAGTGGTCTTCACTACGGACGTCAAGGAAGAGACATAACTTGGT